CAGAGAGAGAGAGAGAGAGAGAGAGAGAGAGAGAGAGAGAGAGAGAGAGAGAGAGAGAGATCATTTTAAAAGAGTCAGTTGCAAAGGGTTCTCGAAGTAAATCTCTTGTGCCTATTGGGCAGCATCCCACCATCCCTCATCCAATCATCCAAGCATCCAGTCATCCAATAATTCCACAATGATGTGGAGAAATCCGTAATGAAACATCCTCCGGGAAGTAATGAGGAATTTGAGATTTAAAAAGAGACTGGCAGCATGCATCCTTGCTTCTACTTCTATCCTCTTTGAGTGTGTTTATTTTTGTGTCTGGTAAGTGTTTTACGGCGCTCGCAACTGCACAAGGTCATATGAGAGCGCGGAACACACCAAACATTTTCAGTTGGTAGGAAATTTTGATTTTTGCCCGCGTGGCAGCCGAAGCCTACTCTTATCTATTATGGACCCCCAAGGGATCTTTAACGTGCGCAACTTGCACACGGGACATCGGCGCGATTTTTCGCTCTAGTCTGAGAAAGCTAGGTGTAGATCTTTCCTACCAGAAGATCAGGGGTGTGGCTGCAGAAGGAGCCAGGAGCCCAGAGGAGGGGGCAAAGGGGGTGATGTGGTGGGGGCAGAAAGTGGAGACGAAAGAAGACGACAAAACATTGCTAGAGAGCAGGAAAGGAGGTGAAAGGAGAAAATTTTAGAGAAGAAAATTTTTTCGTCGCTACCCGGATTCGAACCCGGTAGCCTACCTTTGAATGAGAGGCGAACACCTTAACCTCTAAGCTATGAGAGCCCCCCCCCCCCCCTTTTTTTTTCTTTGGGGGGGGGGGTGCATACTTTCCATTAAAAAATGGCTGGAATTTCTATCATCTCAAATAATTGACTCTTCATTACCCAAAAATAAAGGGAAAAGATAAAGAGCAGATCTGATGCTGCTATTAGTGTTATCAGGTAGCCACTTTGTGCGGATAACGTTTCTGTCGTGATCCACTCATAGAAAGAACGGCAAAATCTGATGGACATTTTTTCAGCTGCACTCAAAAGATTTGGTCTCACAATCAGCGAGAAATAAGATAAAGACGCAAACTCTCGACCAAGGACAAGTTGCATATGGACCAATCAGACAATAACATTCCCAGAACAAGACACAGGAATAAAGAATACTAAACCAAACAACTCACTATAACTATAAACCAGCTTGTATTAGTTAATGGAGTAAAGAAATAATGAATTTAGCTTCGTGAAATGGTATTGGTTTAACGCCCCTATCAACACTACTAGGTCATTAAAGAGGCGGGACCTCCGAGTTTAATGCCCATCTCCGAGAGGACTGGGCATAATACAAATTTCGTGTACAGTGCCTTTCCCAAGGACACAACGTCAAACCAAGCTGAAGCTCAAAACCTAACAACTAGGTTACCGATAACAGTAATAATTTAGCCCACTGAGACGGGGTATAAAAATAGCTCTAGCAACATTTAGGGGTAGTGATAGTAATGCTTTAAAAAGAACAAAACAAACCAGTGTATCCACGAATATCCCCATTTTAATCCACAGAAATCAACAATTTATGCATGACACTGATTTCCATGCCGAAATTGTTTCAAATTGGGACATGGTTTTGACAAAAAATGAAGGTTTAATTTTGAGACATTACAACTTAATGCCCATCCCCCCTCATAAATGAACCATTATGGTCTTGTTTTTAAAAGGAAAAATAAATCTCTATTCTGTTGCAATGCAGTAACTACTACTCAGTCACGTATGATGGGTTAACCAATTACTCGATGACTCATCATCAGAGAAACTCCTTTCGCCAAAAAATAAGCAATATCAGGACAAAACGACGGGATTAACAGAATAGACACAAACGTGTTGTCGTGGCATTCATTAGATCATCAGTGATTCATTCATTTTTTTAAAAATATAACTCTACAAAGACGCAGCGGATACATAATATGTCCGACAGCAGACCAAAAGCCAAGTTGTGGCATCTTCCGAACTCTCCAGGACAAATCAGAAGCACAAATTTGCATATTTCATCATACGTGTGTTATAGTCGCTTTTTTTAAAGTTTAAGTTAAACAAAAATAAACTGAAATATTTGTACAAAGACCGCAGTAATGCTTCTCTTTTTTAAATGCCCCAAAACAGTACATCTTCAAGCGTTGTTTACAGGCCGAAATGTGCGTCTTCAAAGAGTTAATCTACCAGGGCTACATTACTTTCACGCTGCATAAGTGCTACACTCGAGTCATATGAGGAGACATCCACAAACTGCTCATGGCAAAGTGACACAAAAATCATAAAAATCAACAACGCCATCCTTCGCATGCAAATCACAATAACCGTGGCATGCAGAAAAAATTAAACGATTATAACACACAAGACATTGGACGAAAAATCAAAGTCTAGAATTTTATTTTTATGTACAATTTCTTTTAGTACGTAGTCGTAAAACCGTCACCACCAGTACAACGCATAAGATAGTGCAGGAGCAAATGCCGAAGGCGAGGGTAATCCAAGATGCTGGTTAGAAAAAAGAATAAAAAAGAAATATTATCAAAATGTCTGATTCCTCTGATGCAAAAAAAAAAATCGCATAAAATACATCAGCGTGGTAGTGGTATTACGTCTTCCACATCATGTTGTAAGGCAAGAATTTATGAAATAGTACAGATCTAAGTTTAAATTTGATACTGCAATTCAGAACTTATAACTGAGAATGTGGGCTACCCCCTGAGTAAATGCCCATAAGTATAGCAAAACAGAAGTGTGCAATATTGAAAATAGAGTAACGCTGTTTAACAAAAATTTTGTTTGTCAAAAATCTACAAGATCTAATATTCGGTTCACTAAAGAGTGAAGTTACGTTTTCATATACAAATTTTATTATCAATGTCCTCTTTCTTCAGCATCAGAAGGCAGAGTGTACACTAACACTTTAAAAATGGTCAATATCACCTTAAACATCGTACAGACAATAAGACACAATATCTAGGGCACCCAAAAAAACTGGTTAAAAGTACATTTGTATATTACACTACACTTCCCAAAAATATTGAATCTTTTGTTTTCATAAGTTTTACTGCTCCTCTTCACGTAATTAAGACACAATGCGGAAAAATTAAGAAAAGATATAGGAAAAATAATAACAGATGTGAGAAAGGAGGAGCGGGATAAAGCAAGGGAATAGAAGCTGTACCCAATCAATACATAATGCTTCACAACATAGAATAGAAGAAACGTCGATACACACAAAAATCGTGCAATTAAGCTGAAGACCTCAAATGTACACAGTACAGTCATTTTTCTCACTTGGGTACAAGCTGTCAAAGAATAAAGAATGCCTCCCCTTCACTGTTTGTGCTTCCATTTGCATGCTCCTTTTTGGGAGTATAAAGCCCAATACGGCTCGTACCCAAGGTGAGCACCGAACTGTGGGATTATTTTACTTTTAATTTTTTTAATGTATTATATTTTTATTTTTTAGAGGGGGTAGCGGTCAATGAAGGGAATATTATTATATTCTAGCATATGAGACAAGCACTTCAAGCCACACATACAGAAAGCAGGGAAGAAGCGGAAGGATACCCACACTCAGAGGAAAGTTACTGCGTAAAGCCCCTTGGTTCAAATTAACAATATAGGGTACCCGACTCCCTAAAAAGCCTTCATGCTGATTATGGCAACTCCTCGGATTAGGAGGGAATTTACTTTTTAAAAACCAAAAAAACGAAGAATCAAAACTTCAGCTGGGGTGTGACTTTGAGCTTAGTAATTGTATAACTCCATAACCTGATAACTGGCAAATTCAATTAAGGTATGTAACTGCAGAAGTTTACATCCCCAACGACACTATTTAGATCATTCAGGAGGCGGCCAACTTCGCCCTTGCCTGTCAGGGGCAACGCGGGCTGAGAGAGGTACAACTTCTCTTCACAAAAACTGAGGTACTCGATAAAGGTTTTCCCCACGTGAGAATCGAACTCACGTCTAAACTCCTGAGTGCTACAACCAACACAGACGCCGATGGCAAATTAATGTATGCAAAGACAAGTAGATGGCATCACCCACTAACATAGGGTAGAAGCACCAACGTGGGGACAATGTTGGACAAAGAAGTAAAGCAATTTACACAAAAGTGAAACTGTCAATGCCCCCAAAGTCTTAAAAAGACATAAAGGTTTTTGGGGAAGGAATTGGTCAACATGTAATCATGCAAAACAATTTTGGGGGAAATTTTCTCATGCTCAGTACAAGAATGTTTTGAAAGACTTTAAAGTTTGTTTGTTCGTTTGTTTGTTTGTTTGTTTGCTTTTTAAGATTAACGACGTCCATTTTAATCCCTCTATGTAGCGGGAGTTCGGCTAGGTCAGCAAAACTAAATATTTCCAATTAATGCAGGTTTGTTTATTTGTGGGGCATTGTGGTAAAATCAAGCGCTCGTCAAAATAATTAAATCAAAGGGAACGGCATTTTTTTTTTACCGTTTAGCAATTTTTTAATTACGTTTTTATTTTTTGGCTCATCACCTTTCATATCCTTTCAAAAACACATTGCTGTGTGAATTTTTAACTGAAAAATTGGAAGTCACCAAACTTTGGCGGCCATTTTCTCTCTAATTTGACCGCTGAAACCAGGTGACTCCACCTCCTTCAAACGCAAATAACTCTACTTCAATTGACGATAGGTGGAAAATTTTCCATCAAAAGCAAAACAGCTGAACAAGCTTTAAGATGATATCAATAATTTCATATGTCCAAAAATTGACGAGCGCCTCATTCCACTGCAGCAAGACACATTTTTTCTTTAGTAACTATTCAATTCAAGGAACAGATTAAGCATTAGATGTAAAGCCCCTTGGTTTGAATTAACTATATGGGGTACCCGACTCCCTAAAAAGCCTTCTTGTACTTCGCTTTACTTAAATCTGACATCAGTCTATTTTATTCTTGATTTGTTTCTCTTTTCTTTCCATAGATATATGATGTTCAGTAGTCAAACTGGGATTTTAAGAGAACACACTGATAGAATTTTTGCAAGCGGTTAGGGGAAGTTTTAAAATATAATTTCTGTTCAAAGCGGAAACTAAAATGTCAAAGATTGAGCATAAAATTATTCTCACTTCATATTCATAGAACTTGGAATTCCACATATTGAGCTTTAGTCCTGTCGCATCCCACAATTTTTGCCTCCTTTGATCAAACGAAAAAAGCCACATTTTTTAAAGTCAGGCCAAAAACAAAAACAACTTTTCCTTTTCTTTACAGCAAATAATGAAATACCTTTTCTTATGATATATCTCTCTCAACAGACTTAACATAATAGAACAAACTGACTGGTGCTAGAGTAATACTTTGCCCTAAATAAAATAAGAAACTCGAAGAGGATATTGGTTGGCAAAGTAATCACAAATACAGTTATAGCTATGATTTAAGATTGGACTTTTAATTTTTTTTCTTTTTTGGGGGAGGGGGGGCTCGAAGTTTTTCACGAGAACGGAAAAGTTAGCTGGCTTCGGCTGGGTTTTCCTTTTACAATTTGTATATCATTTCACTGCCAGCCCCACTTCTCAATCCTACCAAAGAGCCGGAGACCGTCTCAAGCGCAGCAGTCAAGGGATTAATTTGCAACTCCATCATAGAACGCAAGAAGAGATGTTCATATCAACATTATTAAAGCGTGTCTGAGCTGTGGAGAATAGATTTAACTAAGTGCTCAGTGCGCTGACTGGTATATTCACATTCAAGAAAATAGTGTTTTAAATAACGGTATATCAATATGTGAAGGACACTAGGATTTAACTGTAGAAAAATACATAAACATCAGAAGAACTGTAGGAGGACGAACATACACTCAACTACCCCTTTAATTGGTGTAGAAACAAGAATAAGAAAAAAACAGAAACCCCACGACAAAAACATACTATCACCAGCAAATCTCCATCACCAGTATGCACGGATGGCAGGCTTGGGAGTTCGAAGCCAACTTTGCAGCACAATGGGCATGTCCAAAACCAGCATGGTTTGTGAAGACATTTCGTTTATGGACAGTGCGCGTAAGAAGAACGAGACATGGATCAGGAAAGACTCAAGTGGACAAATATCAGCTTTTTAAAAAGTTTTTTTTTTATTCAGTGCCTTTCAAGACACAGAATGGTCACTTTGATGGAGGAGCACTTTGCCCAATGGGAAAAGTGAAGGAGACAAAAGAGGGCGCAGAGGATGCACCAAAGTAAATATCATCTAACAACATGGAAGTATAGATAAACTTATTCTTCCATCCTGTTGACCACACATTATCGATTATCTGTACCAGACAAAGGTGTGAAATTTCATCACGTACTGGGGAAGTCAAAGAATAAAATTGAGGAAGCGAAAAGAAAGTTCTCTATGGCATGCATTTAGTCTAACAGACAATTTCACATGGCTATTATGAAAGTGGTGTAGACGAAATGTTAAAACTGCCCGAAATCAGAATTCCAAGCCAAAATTAATCGAGTGAGAAGACTATATGCCACAAAAGAAACAAAACTACAGCTGCCAAGATCGTTTTATTAAAAACACAACATGAAAAAGTCTCAACTTATAAACCAAATTCTTTCCTGAAGCTCCAATGTGATAACAGAATATTTACCTGGAAAGAGCTTGTGGGAAGCAGGGGAACTCTGAGCTTGACACTCTTTCTCCCAGTCCTCGGGGACCGTCGCCTTGGTAGCCTCAACAAAAGAGCCCAGAGTGCAAGGATTCTTACAGCCTGAAAAAAAAAAACGATAGCGAGCCTTGCAAGGCATTATTCAACTTTTAGTGAAATAGCATGAGCTATAAAGAGATAATATATCAATTCCCATTCCTTTACCCAGTTTAAATCTAAAGATGAATTCAAATTACTAACTCTGACTATGAAGCATTACACACCCAGTGCCATGACGCACGCACGCGCGTTCGCACACACATACCTACACACACAACAACAACACACCCAAACCGAAGTAAGGAAAAAAAATATTGCGTGTAGACATATAAACCGTACCTGGCGGGGAAAGCTCATAGGGATCCGCAGTGGTCTCATTCCTGTAGAAAATCTTGACCACATGGTCGTCGTTAATCTGATGCAGTTCCACCATGACCAGGGCACGATACATGGGCTGGTGGAGATCAAACACCTGCATAGCGCTCAGGAAGGCTGCAACTGTCGTATCATGCTGTGAACCACAAGTGCAAAGCCGTCGTTACACACTGAATTATAGAGCAACCTTAAATGGAATTCTTTGGCACCGTAACAGCCTTAAATTCAGGTAGCGCACATATAATTTATTCCACAACAAATCGATGACAAAGTACCGATTGAGAGGTGCAAAGAATGGGTGTCATCTCTGCAACTTTTCTGCTGAAATATACGTTATTATTATTATAGGAATCGAATCTAGCAACAATTTATGGAGAAGAACAATTGTACTGCAAACAGATGAATTTTTACTCTCACAATGGCGTGTTATTTCCCCCCTTATTCCCAACACATTGTCTTTTTCTATAAATATCCATATATACCTTTCTTCTGAAAACGGTGGAAAGAATATGAGATACAAACCGACAATTAATAAAATAATACTTTAAATCGTAAACTTGATTAGATAGTTAAGTTCTATGACAAGCGCATTATTTACTAATTTTGTTTTTAAAGAGGCTAAACAAATTACAGTTGAAGAATTGAAACATATTCAACCCGCAGATTGGATCTGAATTTGTTCAAGTTTTGAGATTAAAATGATTATTATAATTAATTCAATATTCATCAATGACAATATTTTGAATGGAAAAAAAACAATGAAAAAAACATATTAAATTCAGTATCACATTCATAGTCACCTAGTAAAGTTCCATAATGTTTGCAACTTGTTCTTAGGGTCAGAGTGCAAAGTTTATATTTCGACCAGATACAGACTACAAATTGAGCCATGCGGTGCATCATATCTTATTGTGTAGGCAACATACTTACAGCTGAGTACATATAGAATCTCGGAGAAGGTGACGATTCCTTGTTTGCATTTTTCATGTTGTTGATAATCTCTTTTAGCAGCGGTCCTTTCAGTCATGAGACATCCATTCGTAAAAAGGAAAGAATTTTTTGTTCAGGGAAGCAAAAGTAGTGTTAAATTATTCCTTCAGGTCAGTCTAACGATGAACGGCACATGCCATTTCCTAGGCATACTGCAAAATCACTGTTTTACTGAAAAGTATTTAAACTTTCCCCAGACCATTCCCCCAAGCAGAGAATGCGGATAAAACTCAGGATGATTCCATCTGCTTTTTTCGAGAAAAAGCCCATTGTCGTAATGACGTCGATTTAGTGCCGGAGGAAAAATAACACAGCTATCAAGCACAATAATGCATAATTAAATAAGCAGAATGTACTTGTGGCACCCTCCAAAGACTCAAAAGATTAATTCCAGTATGTTCAGCAGTCTGACAAATCTTGAAATAAACACAAGAAAGACCATTTTGGGTCAACAAAAGGGGCAGAAATCAACTCACTTCATTACACTGACTTCAGAAAGCAGCACACTTTGTTAAAGAGTGTAGCCTATGCTTTGTCATAAAATTAATTTGTTCCCTGTCTTTAAAAATATACACCCCAAAATTTATGTTCGTTATCGTTATTACACGTAACATATTATTATATCATAAACATGATTTACGTTGTAATGGTTATGATAATGATAATGGTAAAGATGATGCTGATGATGCTGATAATGCTGTTGATGATGATGCTGATGCTAATGATGATGCATCATCATCATCATTTTCATCTTCATCATTATTGCTATTATCGTTATTATTATTATTATTATTATTATTATTATTATTATTATTATTATTATTATTATTATTATTATTATTATCATTATTATTAGTATGTTATTATTATTATTATTATTATTATCATTATTATTAGTATGTTATTATTATTATTATTATTATTATTATTATTATTATTATTATTATTATTATTTACCTCCTTTCAACTTGGCCATTTCAGTTCGCCTGAAGAGCAGATCAAATGACAGGGTCCAGAGACTGTTTATTTTATCCCACACTCCTGGCTCATAAACCCACTTATTCCAGGTGTAGTTGTGTGCTTTCTGCAGAAATGTTCACCAAAAATCAGATTACACATATCGTTCTCTCCTCTGATGCAAATACGACTACAGTCAGTCATGCAGAAAAATAACTGCCCAGTCATTTCAAAAGAAGGGGGGGGGGAGCATAAGAAAGAACATAAGAGTAGCAAAGATGAACCAAACTGAAATGAATACAGGAGATGGGGAAAAAGCAGAGTTAAAGGGAAAAGCTAGAAAAATCATTATTATGAAGAACACTTGTAATAGTTGCATTTAGGCTAGAGACCATTTGCGTGTTTCTGGAGAGAGAAACGAAGAATCTACGGACCTGTCAAAAATATTTCTGAGAAGTTCAAAGCAGAGCCATTGAATAATCAGCAAACAAAAATAATAGACCTCCGCCTCAGCTGCCGTCACTAAAACACACAATGATACTGAACCGTAACTAGATTTCTTTACAGCATTTCTCCTCATCAAAACATTATGTGGATGAAACGTTCTCTAGAAAATGAAATATTATAAAGAATAACACAATAGAGCAAAAACGAATAGATTAGGAGACTCTTACCTCACAAATGAGAGCATCTGCAATCATCCACAAATCCTTAATAGACTCTTTCTTCACGCCTGCAGCCTTTGCGATCTTGCCATAAAACGCCTGTAACATGTATTTATTATTATTATGTTTCATGTGACAGTAAAGAAAGTATCTTTTCCAGTTGTTGTTGTTGTTGTTTTTCTCATTCAATCACAAGCCGATATAATAATAAAAATGGAAAAGATCTGAGAAAAATGATAAATGAGTACTCGTATAAGAATAATTCAGAATTTACTTGAAACATTTCGAATGCAGACGTAAAACTAGGGAGCCTGCAAATGATTTGTATAATATCTGTATACTTTTAAAAATAATTTGCTGAAATAGCATCAAACGGACAAGTTGCAGGGGGTACAGAATGGAGAATTGGGTTTCTTAGATATGGGGTGTGCAGAAAAAAATTGTCAAATTTTTCTTTCTGGCTTTTCAATTTAGTTTAAACTACTCCTTTCGTGTCAGCTCTACATCGAATTCGATGGCGTCTTTGAGTAGCTACACAACTGAAAATGGATAGCTGATACCCGATGCAGCATCGTCCCTAAACGGCAATAATCTAGAAATCTTGCTCGGGGTTACTTTCGAAGTAAACTTATAATTATGGTATGTGAACAAGCCTAAAGCCCTTGATTTAAAGTGACGTGAATTGGCATTACTTGGCTGGTGGTGTGGAAATTGACACACTGAATGATTGTGAATTATGTGAGCGCTATGCCAAGCTGTGTAAGCAAATTATAGAGTAGAAATAACCCGTACTTCACTGCTTAAAATTACATGCATGTGCTTTAGGAAACTTAATCTCTTTCCATTTTGCTTATGAGACAAACTGTTTAACAAGAAAGTCACAGAAATTCAAAACACTTAGTCATTTAATTTGCAATTTGGTAATGACGTTTATACAAGAAATTTACAGAGTTGTAAAATGTTCTTGTTAAGTTAACCTTATTCTCTTTTTCTTCTCTCTTTATCGCAGGCGAGTTCAGAACCTCTGCCATCAGCTGCTTATATCTGGGACACGGAGCTTGCAAAGCCAGTTTCTGTAAAGCAAAGAACATTGATTAAACCATAATACTAAAGTGCTCTCTCTCTCTCTCTCTCTCTCTCTCTCTCTCTCTCTCTCTCTCTCTCTATCTATCTATCTATCTATCTATCTATCTATCTTTCTCTCTCTGTATCTCTCTCTCGCTCTTCTTCTCTCTATATCTCCGTCCCTCCCATTCCCCCTCCCTCTGTCTATCTGTCTTCTCTGTCTGTCTGCCTGTCTGTCTGTCTGTCCATTCGTCAGTTCGTCTGTTCGTCCGTCCGTCCGTCCACCATTATAGAATTGTTAGTGATTTCTACGTGGAAAATTTTAAAGACAATAAAACAACGAATATATACAACCGTATATGTATAACCATGTATATACATGTATCATTATCCCTGTGATAGATAGTGTGAATATTTGCTTATGTGTCCGTGTTAATCTAAAGAGCGAACATGTATGCATATTCATTCAGTTGTATTTGGTTTTGAGACGAAGGTATTGTAAAGCGCTTTAAAAGCTGTACTGTACTTTTATTATCATCATCATCATCATCATCATCATCATCATCATCATCATCATCATCATCATCATCATCATCATCATCATCATCATCATCATCATCATCATCATCATCATCATCATCATCATCATCAAAAACAACAACGACAACAACAACAACAACAACAACAACAGCAGCAGCAGCAGCAGCAGCATCAGCATCATTATCATCATCATCATCATCATCATCATCATCATCATCATCATCATCATCATCATCATCATCATCATCATCATCATCATCATCATCACCATCATCATCATCATCATCACATCATCATCATCATTAGTAGTAGTAGTAGTAGTAGTAGTAGTAGTAGTAGTAGTAGTAGTAGTAGTAGTAGTAGTAGTAGTAGTAGTAGTAGTAGTAGTAGTAGTAGTAGTAGTAGTAGTATCATTCTTCTTTCTTATTATTATTATTATCATCATCATCATCATCATTATCATCATCATCATCATCATCATCGTCATCATATAGAATCAAGTCACTCTGGATACAAAAAAGAACAAAGGCGTTGTGGAAGAAATAGAGAAAGGGATGGGGGCTTGCCACTTTTTCCAACCTGAGGCAGAGATTGAAGTAACGGAGAGGTATGAGGGGAAGAATTCCTTTGAGTTTTGATGAGTTTGTTTGGGGTTTTTTTTACTTAAAATTTGTTTTTAAAAATCAAAGTGGTAAAGAAGAAAAAAAATGTTGACTCACATTATCTGTATGTGTTGGAGTGGTCTGGACCGGAATCGGCTGCCAGGTGAAGTTACTGTTCCAGACCTGTGGACCCTGAGGTGGGAAGAGCCCGGCCAGGTTGCTCTGAGCAGACATCAAACAGCGCTCCACTCCTGATGACTGGATCAGAATCTGTTGACGACATGCCAAAAAAAAAGACAGAATAAAATCTTCGAATCTTCGAATCTCCGAATAAATATCTCGCTACATCCTGCGACCCTCGTGGATTATGGGATCCGTAACATCTATATATAATTCGTGATCACCCAGGTTAATAACTACAGTGACCTCGCTATCATCATTGGAATGAGCAGTAAAAGATGTGTGACCATTGTAAAGACAATTGATACATTTGAAGATATGCATTGCCTACTAATTATCATGACCTATTCTTTTTCAAAATCACAACTCAATATTTTACGCCTCCTTCTCTGAACAAGAACAAGTTGAATGTTATATAATTTTTGTTTATTAACAGAAAACAGTTTTTACTTTTTTTCCCATTATCATCTGATAATAGCGTAGCTTACCTGATCATGATGATAGTATGAGGTGTTCAGAAACCCACTGTATCTCTCAGCAATGTACTGGCCTAACTCATACTGTTGTTGTTTTCCTATCTGATACAAAATAAATATAAATTCACTAAAGCATTTGTAGAAGGATAAAATGAAGGGGGAAGATATACTGCTGCGCACAATTCCCAGTAAGGAGAAGCACATTAACATGTTTATGATTTGTTTTTAAAGCAATAGAGAGTAGTTGGGAATAACAAAAACAACTGCTAAGTCAGTATCCATCTATGTGCTTCAATAATGAAAGTCATTTGCAACTTATGGATCAAAAGATAACCATGATGGTAGAATGTGACATGTATAAATGTGTACATAACAACGAGGCATTGTATCTTCTCTCCCTTGGCAGAAAGATATCAATATTTTTGTTATTTCACACTGCTTGCCATCTACTTTCAGACTCAATGAAAGCAAAACCATAAAACAATTTTGGCAGAATCACAGGCAGGGTAGGGTTTCAAACTTATAACTCCTAAAAATCAGTTGCGTAAACTGATATATTTCCACATTTACAAAATCTTTCCGATTTTGAATGAGTTCATCTGTCCATGGACAAGCCTACAGTTTGAAGTATTACTACATTCCTATAACCCAAACATCACAGCCTACACAGACCGTACATTAGGCCTGCATATTACAGAAAGAGAATGACAAACACCGTGCAGGATTCCTAAAGTGGTAATGCCTAAATTTTATTACTTTATTTCTCTAGACTCCTTCTTCCCTACATTCTAACATTACTGTCTTTATTATTTAGTTACGCTATAGACTGAAGTCGTCAAAATTAATATTTTACAATGATAGCTATAACATTCAAAACAAGTATAAAACAAAGAGCTACTTAGAGTTCAAAGATTTAAAATATATAATTTGAATAAAATAGGAATGCAGATTTGTTGGAGATCTTACATTGGACAGCCAACCCAAACCATCTGGCCATGAGCCTGGAACTTGGTGTATGTCCTTTGGGTAGATGTAAGCAGGACTGCGGTCACCATGACGATATAACTGCATGAATCAAATAAAGAGAATTTTTAAAAAGCAAATTTCACTCTAAAATTTAAACTACATCAATGGATATAGCACCATAAGAAGCAGTCGACAAACACTTGGATCAATGTGTGCAGACTATGCTTGCCTTTAGTTGATCCTAAGTAAGTTTGATACAAAATATCCTCCAACACCCATCCTTCACAGAGAGTGAATGCAAGTTCCACATTGCCCGATGCCGTGAAAAAATTATAATTATTGTTTCTATTTTTCTGATCATATTATTATTGCTACTGTGTCAAACATCTTTAACAATATGTAAAACAATAAAGACTACACAATGCATGCCCAGGTTGTTTTCAATAATTGCATCATCTCTCAGTCATTGCTCAAAACAAGAACAAAGAGACCTTAACTTTGAAAAAAAGTGCCAAAATTTTTTTAATTCGACTAAGTCAGTATGATAAATCCTGAGGCTGGGATATATATTAAAGATAGTGATCATTTCTCAGAACAGGGTCATGAAATTGACATAAGCTTCAGTCAAAAGCAATTAATTAAGAAATTAATTAACTTCATACTGCACAATATGAATCCCTACTTCATTTGCATCAAGTAAATTCTTAAACAGCCCAGATCAAAAAAGGTTTCTAAAGTGATCATACCTAGTGTAATAATCTATCTCTATATATTATATTTGTGAAAGTTCGTCACTTTGGCCGCCTAAAACTTCCCAACCACATAACTTTTAAATTTGACAAAATTAACGGTGGTTCAGAATCATTTAGAGGGTGCACAGTTTTATTGAGGAGCCTGAAATAACAGTAATTTAATTTTCAGTTTTTGATTAGTTTCGTTTAGATCTAATCTTGGGGAATTCCGTCTTCTCAGACGCCATTGTAAACAAGTGAGATTTCCGTTCACTATCCGTGCGCACTATTCCACACCTTTGAAATTCTGGAGACTGGAGTGCACAACCACGAAAGCGGAATAGAGAATCAATCTATACATCTCTGTATCTAGACCTTCTAATTTGTTGCATATCTCAAGATTTATTGCTCCATTCCAGTAGAGTGTAAATATAGTAGGCCAATGACTTTCTGTTGATGTTAATGCAGCGATCATTCCTTTCATCGAAAGGGGGTCCAGCTAGTATAATATATTATATAAAGAAAGTGTGAATGGGATAAAGAGAGTCGATACAGAACCAATAAAAAGTGTTCACACATTATTGCTACTCACAACACTGAAAAATTTCTTGTAGCTAAATCAGTAAAAGTTATTGTCAAATCATCTAAAAATCCTTAAATTCTTTTAAGTTGCTCATTGAAGGTCAACATTTATTAATCAACTCAACATTTGATAGACTAACTCATAAAAGAAGGATGTTCTGCCACTCTGTATGCCTACAATGATTTTTGTTCTTAATAGTGTCAACTCTACTCCTTTCTTAATGATCTTCTTCTTTGCCTTCCCTGCTAGATCTCATGGGTTGTCGACTGCTTGTTCTTCAACCTGAAGTGCAACTGATTTTTATGCATGTGATTGTTTTCTCTACATAGCAGGGCCCCTTGCCTCCAAGCAACAAGCGGCCACGTCCCAATTTCGTAGGTGCTCTAAGCTTTTATACTGACCAGAGCATTTTCAGTGTTGGTAGGAATTCATTTTGAATTTTGCCTTGATGGCGGCTAAAACCTACTTTTATCGATTTTAGGACCACCTAGGGATCTTTCATGGGTACAACTTGCATATGAGACCTCCGAGATTTTTAGCCCTTATTTGGTGGTCGACTATACCTACCCTAATATCAGGGGTGTGGTTGAAAGACAGCAGCAAGAAGGTGCCAGGAGCAGCAGTAGAAATAATCAGGAGTAAAGGAGAGAAGAACCCACAGGAGGCCGTAGATGGAGAGTGGAAGGGGAGGGGGAGAAAAGGTGGAGACGAAAGCAAATAACAGCCTAGACCATGACTAGACAACATGGAAGAAAGTGAAGGGAGTATATTTTTTTGGTAAAAAATTCGTTCTATCAGGTTTGGAACACGAAACTTTTTTAAAAAGAGGCGAACATAGTAGGCTACCTTTCCTAAGGATGAAGGAAAAGGCTTTTGAGGCCAAGTTATACAACAGTGAAGCAAAACGTGCTTATTTGAGTTATCATAAGGGTCCGTTTTATTGGGTAGACCATGCAAACATGAAAGACATTTACACATACCACATGAACGAGTTTCAGGGTGGGAGGTGGTGCTCCAAAAACCTGCAAACCACAGCATAAACAAAGGCAGAGTTGGATGAGTCTCTTCATTGAAGGAGGTCCAAGTTCCCTTACATCCATGGTGTTGCTCCAAATTGAAAGTCACAAAGAAGGCTGAAAAAATTAAGAGGTAATCATGATAGCTTTTTCCCCAAAACGTTTTGAAAAAAAAAAAACATTACCACTATAATATGTTTTCAATGGACATATAAGGTGAGTGAAAGTACGTACCTCTGGGAATCAAATTGGAAAATGTATACCTATTGGTCTATAGGCCTATATATATAGGTCTATGCGCTAGTGAGATTGGCCCATTAGTTATTAGCTGTGACTTAATGTGATTATCAGTTTCCAAAAGATAGGCCTACAATTAAGTTGGAACAATGATAAAACAATAGAAAGAGTGAAGTTCGTTACTACAACTTTCCTTCAATTAACAATCTGTGACCGCTTTATGGCCATTTAAAACCATTAATGCTATTAATCAATGCCGTGTTATCATTGGTGATCATGCGCGTAGTGAGATAATCCAGACTTGTCACCACTTCAGTTTCCTTGACAAGTGATCGCTCTTCATCAGAGAAATACATTAAGCGATGTTTTAACATCTAGGGGCGGCCTTGCCGTTGAAACATAAGATCTAAAGAGCTTAGGTGATAAAAACAACAGCGAAGCGAACTCGTGACCGGGATCCTGAGTGTACACTTGTCAATTGACACTTAGTCAAAGCTCCGGGACCCAGATAAGTGAGCTTACAAACAAGTGGACTGCGTCTACTCAACTAGGTACACTACGTAATAAAAGAACTACGGGTCACAATCTTTGACTTTCCAACAGTAATATGAATGAGCATGATTTTTTGAATTTATATGTTCTTTTCTTTCGCCCTAGCAAAAAAAATTACAACTGTCAATCTGTATCTGTTTGACTTACAGTAGACCAAGTTTAGCCTACGAATTGCGCATTTTGAAACAGCGACGCCTCCCTGGCCCAACATTTCAGTGTAATGACGTAGTCCCCACCCCCAAGATAAGCTAAACGCCATGGGTCTCAAAGAGTACTCAACCGTTCAATGGACCGTGTTATCGTGTTTCATAGATGTGCGTTAAAGCGCGGAGGTAAGCTTTTTGATGTACAGTTTTACTTATACGCTGTAAATCATCAGGTTACTATCTAAGAAAACGTTTGAGAACCTTACTTTACAGTGGCCTTCAAGAATGGGCTTTGAGGTTCTGTTGGTCAACCAATGTTTAGACCCCCATGCAAAGACATGAGAAGATTAAAGATACTGATCTGCGCACAAGCGAAAGTGAACAAGCCATAGTATTTTGACTATTTTCTGTCGCCTGAAGAAAATCCAGCTTAAATAGGCGGGACACCTGGTCCTAAGGGAAAACACACGGCTCCCCAAAGCTACTTTCTCCTCAGAACCGTCACATAACGGCCTTTGTGGAAGGCGGAACACAAGATAGTGCCCCCCCCCCCCCCCCCCAGATATCCAGACACTCTGAAGATTTCCGTGAAAGATTGGTCCATAATGTAAGCCTCGATGTGCTACAAGTTACAGAAACCAATATACCTGGATGGAGAATCGAAGGCACTCGACGTTCTCGAATCAGCATTGTTGTTAGCGTGTGTCCCGTAAAGGGGATAAGTGCCTACTGCAGAAACTGACATCACAATCCAAAGAAAATTTATACTACGTGTTTCGTATTATCTTCTGCAAACAATTTGGTGAGCGAATTTTCTTTATTGGGTAATGTTTTCCATTCCATAGAGTATGAACAGGGGGGGGGGGGGGGGGGGGGGGCTGTAACGTTTTCTTCACCCAAATGTGCTGCGACGAGAACGATGCTACGGTTTAGTTCAGCTTTAAAAAAAAAAAAACAGAGAAAGCTATACTATGCAAAATAATTGCAGGCCGGGGAGTACCCTACCGGGATCGCAAATGCTATGGAAATGGCCCTGTCCCCAATTTGTCGCCTTTGGGGGCGTTTCCAAACTACCGGAAACACTCGTGATGCTCACAGAACCGGCAGACCTCGTGTGATCAGCACACCAAGACCACGACATTCTGTGTAAACACCAGCGTGACAGCTTTAGGTGCGCCACTGAAACGGCTAGAACCACTGCTGGCACCCATGAAAGAGTCAGTTCAAGTCAAACAGTACAAAAAGAAAAAATGCAATATATCTAAAGTAGATCTAGATCTACTTGAGTTTATACATCGTATTTCCACTCCTTAAACCACGAGAAGATTGGCCTTATAGATGTTACTAAATAGAATGATCAAATGCACTATGAGAATAGACATCAGCCATCAGCTGCATTCCTCTTGAAAAAAAAAAGGATTGTGATGAGGATATAACTTCAGAATGTAGGAATTTAATGATCTCATTTGACATATTCTTATAATATATCTGATCCCATACAAGCAGCTGTAATGCAGGTTCCACGTAGTATCCTATTAGACTTTTTGTTTTATAATAATAATATTAATATTGCTCATTTATTATTTTAACATTATTTTACTCAAATGGATTATATTGTTAGCTTTATTGTTCTTGATATTGTTATTATGAAACTGTTTGTTGAGGTTGTTGTTCTTTTTATTATTATTATTATTATTATTATTATTATTATTATTATTATTTTATTATTATTATTATTATTATTATTATTATTATTATTATTATTATTATTATTATTATTATTATTATCAAATGAGCGTTAAAAAGTTATGCGTCATGCAAATGCAATTTTTATTATTATTATTATTATTATTATTATTATTATTATTATTATATTATTATTATCAAATGAGCGTTAAAAAGTATCACACGACAGTCATATCTGTTTTAAAAAAATAACAATCTGTATTCACAATCGAACCTGTCTAACAGCCACCAATGGGTGGTCATCTTGGATCGAAAAAGTCGATGGTTTATGTATCACACAGGGTGTTCCTCAAGTGAGGACATAATATAGGGCATCTCATTAACTACATGTCTAAATTATGATGGACGGCAGTATGAGGTTACAGCACTGGGGCAACGTGACTCCTGTTGAGCGGTTCATTCGACCTTTGCAGAAAAGTTTTAGGGGATAATTATAGAAAATGTTAAGTGCTGTTATTCCGATAAAATAAAAAGTTTGATGACTGTCTACTTGAGCCATCTAATGCGAACCTACATGATATTCCACACACTTTCGTGGTCAAGTATTTTTTGGTTGCCGTGACATCATGTTTGAAATATCAATTTCCACCTCATCCTGTCTTTCTCTTAAACTTCTTGTACCGGGGGCCTTCCCCAAAACACACACACACACACACA